CAGGGGCTGAAGCTGTATTAGCTACATTAGCTATATTAGCTATATTAGCTATATTAGACTAATATCTAAATGACAAAGTAAAGGCTAAACACATAAAAACCATTCATGATTATCAAATGTGTATTTTCATTGCAGCGTGTCCTGGAGAGAATGACGCACCACGTGACAACTCTGCTTTAAGTTTAACTTCCATTTTTTTGCCTTCATCCAATTGTACAAATACAGTAAATAAATCTGCTTTTTGGCTCCGAGTTCACCTGCATCACTGTCTGTTCATATCCATCACAGCCTGAAGTTTGCTGGAGCTGAATGTCCTTTCTTTCACCGTCTTTGCGAAGGTATTTGAAGTCTGCAAATAGGTGCTCTGACTTTATGATGAATGAATCTTTCAGTGAACGGTGTTTAAAGCTTCATTGTTCCTCGTGTTGCAACAAAACTTTTCATTACATCGCAAACATGAAGCAGTCCTTCCTCAGTGACTGAAAGCAAATGTTCATTCTCATTCTTAGTCCAGTCTTATCGACTCTCTCTGTATCTTTGGGATCCATGCGCACACACAGTCTGTAATGCACACGCCGCCTGGCACTTTAGGGACACTAAAGGTTGCCGACCCCTGGTTTATACAGTATGTGGAAGAATATATTGTAGAGGATCAGGATCTCTCCAGTTTCAACAATAAAATAAAGTACAATAGTCTACATTAAACAGAGTAATAAACATGTCTCAGAGTGAGGGAGGTGGGCACAGACAATGCTATTGTTTGTTACAAGGATGAGAATTGGTAAAAAAGTCTGAAATGCATATTGTCAGTCATTAGCTGGCTCTAAATCTGTTTAATCTGTTCACAACATTTTACTTTTGGGCTCAAACATGAACTTTTAATGCAATGGAAAATTTAGGTATCCGAGCTTTAATTTAGAGGAGAGGGGAGACGCGGACTGTTTTCTGCAGCGGTGTATTTATTGGGTGCACAAATTACGAAAAGACACGCATGGTCCTGTGCACGTTTATGGTTTTGGGTACATGGTCACGTTGCGGCTACGCGCTCACCGTGTTGTGTTGTGAGCGGTTCCTGTGTCCAGCTCAGAGCCGCTGGATGCGGGAACACTGCGGCCGCTGAGGTGGCGGAATCCCGTTCCAGTACATACAGCAGGTGCCCCGCGGACACGCGCGCTCCCCTCGAACATTTCTCAACGGATTTACACTTTTCACAAACATGTGTTTTGTATGTGGCAGACAGACCGGCCCAAATATGGGCATCGGCCCTTCGGGCATTGCCCGGTACGCCCGATGGCCAGTCCAGCCCTGCGCTGAAGGGACCTGGGCTGAACGACTAATTCTAATCCACGACTAATTTTAATCCGCTCTTTTTTAAATCGGACATTTTTAACATTGTTTGTAAATAAATTATTTTTTAACGCATCAGTAGTTTAATTTACTGCAATTACGTGCTCCCCTCGGCTCTCACATATGCATTTGTTGTGCTAACAATCTCAAGTTTGCAAATAAGGGGTGAGCACTTGAGATTGTATGCAAATGCATAAGTTCACAAGTTTTATTATTAGCCACTACATAATCCTATGTTGAGTGTTTATTAGTTTTTAACCAAACAAAGAAAAATTGTTTGCTAAAAATCGAAACAAACATATAACATTGGTGAAGCGTAGTCTCGAACCCACGTTGCCACAGCCGCACTCGTTTACTTAACCATTACACTGTTGTCAGACACTAACTCTGCAACTTTGTAGTAAACTTACACCCAACCCGCTAAAGAGCCGATGCTCACTATTGCTAGATCACGTCCTAACGAGTGGGTCGGCCGATGACCTGTTTTCCACGTCTAAACGACGTCTTTGAAAGGTGCGCATTTGGACGAAAAAACAATGCCCTCCCAGACGTTGATATTACGTTAAATTTGTACCTCCCTATCTGCCCTGCTCACCCTCTTGTTGGAAACTTGAGATTGTTAGCACAACAAATGCATAAGTTCACAAGTTTTATTCTTAACCACTACATAATCCTATGTTAATTGTCAATTATTTTTTAACCCAACAGAAAAAAATTGTTCGCTAAAAAGCGTAAAGTTAGACACGCATCAACGTGGACTTGAACCTGCGTCGTCACGACTGCGATCTCATTAAGTAACCGCTGCACCACCGTCAGACATTCATATTCAGCCATTATAAAAAAAGTGTACACAACCCCCTAAACAACCGACGCACACATGCAAGATTACAGCCTGACACATGAGTCGGTCGAGGACCTGTTTTCCACGGTTAAACAACGTCTGTGTGTGCATCTGGACGTAAAACAATGCCCTCCCAGACGTTGATATGACGTTTAATCTGTACCTCTGTCGCTGCCCTGCTTTATTTACTTTCTCAAATGGAGACTTGAGATAGTTAGCATCACTAACATACATAAATTCACACGTTTTATTCTTAGAAGCTCATGTAGCTTCTAAGAATAAAACGTGTGAATCCAATGTTGAGTGTTGATTTGTTTTTAACCAAATAGAGAAAAAATGTTTGTTTAAAAAGCAACTAACAACCTCCAGGGTTTTGAACTCCCATTGCTACATCTACAGGTCCATCAATAACTGAGATATATTCTTAAAAGAGCCAATGAACATCCGAAGCTCACTTGTAGATTACATTTCAGACGCGTCGGTCGAGACGAGGACCATTTTTTCACGTCTATACGACGTCAATGTAGGTTCCACTTCTGGACGTACAATAATGACCTCCCATAGACTCAATCTTTGAGTCAATTTTTGATCGCTCAGTCCATTCTTCCTCTACACCTGCTTTATTTACTTCGAATCACCCTCTCTAGTAAGTACACAGTCGGCACAGTTTTTAGATATAGATGTATCATTTCCACATCGAAAAGAGTTGGAGACAGAAAGTAAGTTTTTTTCTCACGTATAAGTGGAATTTTTTAAGTATATTTTGTATATTATCCGTATTTTGAATTGCCAGTGTTGTCATAATGCGTTGTTGACATCATGGATTTATAATAACGGCTGGCACTGGTCAGCTGAAAGGGAGACACCTTTGCCAACTAGACAACGCTTTTTAGAGCTAGAACCCCATGTGCTCAATTGGGTTGTTGTGAGAGCCAAAAACAGTTAAAAAAGCTTCTTTTTTTTTAGTTGTTAAGTTAAAGTTCAAAATATGATATTGTTTTTCATATTTTAAACTATTTTTAACACATTAGAAATGTTAGGTTAGAATGTCCAACAAACTATGTGTTAAAAAAGGTTAAGATTCTTGAGTTTAAAATAATAATTCAATTCCAAAATGCAAAGTTACTGTATATTTCACAATGGTTTATAAACTGCAAAAGACAACAGTACAAATCTAAGTTTTAAAACAGGGAGATCAGCTTTAATATTTGGGACACTCCCATTGTTTAGACACCTGTGATGTCATCAGTTGGAGTTGATTTGTGTAAGCCCTCAGTCGTACAGGGATTAGTCAAAGCAAAGGAAGGTTTCTCACCCATCATCTGTACTTCTTAGCAAGTTTTCCCGACGTTTCGTCCTCAACCTGGGGACTTCTTCAGGGAATGAATTCTCGGACCGCGCGTTGGAGATTTATAACCTATGGGTGTGGTTAGCCACACCCTAATCCTGATACTAACTCGTAAACAATCTCAGGTCTGCTTGATGTAGAAGGGAGCAGGTCTAACGACCCTGCTGAGGCTAACGACCCTAACTCCTTAGCATGTCACAGACCTATTGTCTGCTGGGATGCTCAAGTGGAGTGCAGGTTTCACCCCTCCTAACTCCTTAGCATGTCACAGACCTATTGTCTGCTGGGATGCTCAAGTGGAGTGTAGGTCTCACCCCTCCTAACTCATTAGCATGTCACTGACCTTGTCCCAAGTTAGGGCGTTGTTTTTAGGATGTCGTCATAGATGCGAGGCAAAACAAATCTTAACCCTCCTCCTCTGTTAAGAGAAGGTTTTTGTTTCCTCACAAAAATGGCTTCTTTCACCCCTCTCTCAAACCAATTCTTCTCCCGAGCCAGAATTTTAACCTCTGTGTCATCCACCGTGTGGTTGGAGGCCTTGAGGTGGAGATGAACAGCCGACTGTGGCCCACTAGAGTTTTCTCTACGATGTTGGTAAAGTCGTTTCTGTAGAGTTTGTTTGGTTTCTCCAATATAGTGGTCAGTGCACTCCTCTTCACTACATTTAATTGAATACACCACATTGCTCTGTTTGTGTCTGGGTGTTTTGTCTTTGGGATGCACTAATTTCTGTCTTAACGTGTTGAAAGGTTTGAAATACACAGGGATTTTGTGTTGCCTAAAGATTCTTTGTAGTTTCTCTGAAACTCCCGCCACATACGGTAAGGACACCCCGTCCAAATCCTCCTCTGGCACGCGGGTTGGAGAAAATCAAAGGAAAACTAGCAGACGCCAGAAAACATCTTAGGTTCAATCTTAGGTGTAGCCAGAGTAAACTTATCCCAAAATGTTTAAAGCAAAAAGCATTAGAAACAGGCCAGTTGGCAAGAAAAATACAACAAAACTACTGTATGAAGATTCTCAATTTAAGAATTCGACGTCTTAACATAGAGATTATAAACCTAAAGGACGAGATAGAGGGCCTTAAGCACAAACTGGAATTGGCAGTCCCACCAGAGTTTTTTCAGAGGATTTGGACGTTTACGGAAACTGCCCAACTGAACCATCACAAGAAGGCCAAAGAACGTCAGATAGGCAAATTTCTAAAACTCCAAAACCATAATTCTTTTCAACATTCTAAAAGTGAAATTGGACAAGGCTTGGACAGGGAGAATTGGGTCAAAAATCTGTCTGATCGGCATTTATCACAAGCGGAAAAAGATGTTCTTACTAAAGGCCTAAATTTTGCAATAACCCCAAAATATATTCCTACAATTGAATATGTGGCATGTCGGTGTACACCTTACCCTGAGCTGATTGGTGGGCGTCACCGAGCAGTGCCCATAAAGACACGGGAACGCGCAGCGCGCACGCATATGTCTTTGTTTGGGTGCGGTGGTCACGGCGTTTGGTGACCGGCTGCCTCCTCTGTGGAGCACGCTTGTGGGCTTGGGCGCCACAGTCTGGGTTGTGCGTGTTTGCATGTCCTCCTCCTCGGTAAGTTGCTCATTGTCCATCCTTTATTGGTTGGCCCTGTGCCAAAGCTGACCATCAAACACGTTGCTTCAGACTTCGAGCTGCAGTAAGGACCAGCCAATAATCCACCTGGCTCTCCCCCTCCTCCCGCTGTCCGTGCGCACAAGTCTTGCGTTGGCCGGTAAGATCACAAAGTTTAGTTTAGTTTCCTCCAATCCTTCTAAGACTCGTGTCTCTCCTTTTGCAGGCACGGTTGTCCACGTGCGGTCCCAAGCGGGGGCCGCCGCCCCAGAAAAGAAATCGTTGTTTTGTCCATTCATTGTCCTCATACACAACACTCACCACTGTGCACTGTCCTCACGGTGCCGTGAAAGGCGCACTCTGATTCGCCCACGCACCAGCACTGCTGTGGGGCGTCTTCTGCGAGGCGTTCAGGTGCGCTCCGACTAAACGGCGTTCAACAGGAGTGATGATTAAATAGCCCATGCACTACAGGGAAGGACATTTTAACACTTTTGTGCATTCCCTAGGTTAACCCCCTTTGTTTGGTGAGTTATTTTGTGTGTTTTGAGTTTGTTTGATTTGCTTGCATTTAATGTTTTGCTGCATGCGTGTCTTGCTGCATGGCTTGTTTTGCCTTTTTGTCATTTGTTTGCATGTTTTCCCATTAATTTCCTTTGCTTCCCGTAAGGTGTTTTTTTTGCATTATTTTGCTTGCTTAATTTGTCCAACCTGTACAAATTAATGCTGTTTAACCATTTTTATCTATTCCTATAGGCCTATAGTGTTTTAATCATTGTAATAAAATAAATAATTTTGTACATTTCTAACACTGTTCACGTCTCGTCAATGTCCACGGCCCTGTGCGCTTGTTTAATTCATTTAGCTCACATTTTCCCAGGTACTGGCCCTGGGTGGCGTTGTTGGTACTCCTCAGTTTTATTTGAAAGTTAAAGATCCACTCCGACTGCCACACTTGGCGCTGCTGTTGGCAGGATTGGACATTTAAAACTGAGATGTGAACAGTGTTTAAACTTGTTTGTTGAAGTTATAAATGTGTTTATTGCTTCACTCATACATTTACATTTTTTTTTGAGTTACATTTGTCTGGACAAAGCAACGGTTTCCCCTTTCAGGAGCGCAAAAGTTCAGGTCAGTGAAATTACTTCTGTTTACAGCTTACCCAAAGGTCGCATTACAGGTGCTCTTGGTCAGAATGGAGGAGGAGATGCAGCAGCTCAGAGAGCAACTGGCTCAGCTGGAGGCGGACAATGAGCGTCTTCGCCAGGAGAGGGCTGCGCCTCAGGCCGGCCCTGCTGGGGCTTTCCATGCTCCCAACGTCTCCTCCGACCAGGCCCGGTCACTGGGCTCTCGTACCCCCTCCACAGAGCGTGTGTTTGTGATGGCACGTGACCGTAAATGCCCCTTGTTTAATGGTAAGTCTGGCCTGTCTTTGAGTGAATGGCTTGAGGAAGCACAGGCAGGCATGCGAGCTAGGCACCTTTCTACTGTTGAGCAGGCATTCTTCCTCTTTGATCACCTGGAGGGTGAAGCTAAAGTTGAAATAAAATTTCGTCCAGCAGAAGAGCGGGAAAACCCAAAGAGAGTTACAGAGATACTTCAGGAGCTCTATGGTTGTGTGCAGCCATATGTGAACCTGCAGCAAGCATTTTTCTCCAGGCGTCAGGAGGAAGGCGAGACTTTACAAGAGTTCTCACTGGCTCTAATGGCTTTAATGGACCAGGTAAAGCAGCGTGCCCCAGACAGAGTGCCCAACTCCAATGTGCTCCTTCGCGACCAATTCACTGAACATGTATTTGATAGCGCTCTACGCAGAGACTTGAAACGGTTCATTCGGGACAATCAGACAGCCACTTTACTCCAAGTAAGGGCAGAGGCCCTCAGGTGGGAGCGGGAGGGACTCCCAGCCCCTTTTAGAGAGCGTAGCTTCTCTCTTCCTTCGGTTCGTGGCCTCCAGTTTGAGGTCAGGGGTTCCACACACCCCACTCAGGCCTCACCTACTCCAAACCCGGGGCTAAATGAGGTGATGGAACTGCTTAAACGTCAGCAAGATCAACTTAACCAGTTGACTCAAACAGTCGCCTCTTTGAAAGCTCCTCGGCAAAATACACCTCCACGAACTGCCATTATCTGCCGTAGGTGCGAACAGCCTGGTCACTATGCCAGTGAATGTGATGGTGTGAGAGTTTACCGCCCCTCACGGGCCACTTCAGCCATCAGATCTTCAAATGCCAACCATTCGGAAAACTGAAGCCCTCTGAACTGCGGAGCCAACGTTCAGAAGGGGCCTCTACCGGCTCGCAGGTAAATGGATACACAGAATTAATGGCGTCATGCCCAACAGTCACTATAGATATGGGAGGGGTTCAGGTTGTTAGTTGGTGGACACAGGTTCTATGGTGTCCACAATAACTGAACGTTTCTTTAGGGAGCATTTCGAACCCTGGGGCCCTGATCGTCTCCACTCCTGCCATTGGTTACAACTGCGTGCTGCTAATGGGCTTGAGATTCCATATATAGGTTACTTGGAGCTAGATGTGGCCCTTTGTGGTAAGAAGGTCCCCCGCTGTGGCATCTTGGTGGTGCGCGATCCCCCTGGCACTGGTTGTTCTGTTCCCGGTATTTTGGGGATGAACGTTATTCATCGTTGTTACAAGGAGCTCTTTGGTTCCCATGGGTCCTCTCTGTTCGATTCTCCCGCCGTGGCCCAGGCTCCAGGGACAGTTGTAGAGGCTTTGCAAAGATGCCACTATGCAGCTGCTCAGTCCACCGAAACCTTGATCGGGGCTGTTAATGTGCGAGGTCCGCGAGCGGTTCGGATATCAGGGGGCACTATGAAGTTGGTCCCAAGCACCTGCCCCGAGCAGTTTGCTGGTCAGTCTGTCCTATTTGAGCCTCCTCAGTCTGGCCTACCTGCTGGTCTACTGGCGTCCCCCTGCCTTGTGCATGTCGACAAGGGCACAGTTTACATCCCTGTTGTCAACGTGGGGACGTCAGATGCACTCCTCTATCCTCGCACCAGTTTAGGTGCCTTGAGCTGGGCTGATGTGGTGAGTTTGCCATCAGGAGTTGTGGAAGTTAATGCCATCTCAGCCACGACACCCCCTCAAGTGACAGACGACCTTATGCAGGGTAAGGTTGAGATTGCAGACTTGTCCGCCTTGAGTCCGGAAGAACAGGTAGAGGTGAGGGCTCTGCTGCAAAGATACAGCAATGTGTTTGCGGCACATGAGGGTGATCTGGGATGCACCAACTTGATTGCCCACGAAATACCTCTGCTCGACGAAATCCCCATCCGGCAGCGTTACCGACGTATTCCACCATCCGAGTATGAAGCTGTAAAAGCTCATATAAACAATCTCCTCAATGCGCAGGTAATAAGGGAAAGTAATAGTCCGTACGCATCACCCATCGTCCTGGTCCGAAAGAAAGATGGTAGTCTGCGCCTTTGTGTGGACTACCGTCTCCTTAACGGTAAGACCAGGAAGGATGCCTTTCTCTTGCCACGCATTGAGGAGAGCTTGGATGCGCTGTCGGGGGCACGCTGGTTTTCTACCCTCGATTTGGCCAGCGGGTATAATCAGGTCCCGGTAGCGGAGCAGGACAGACCAAAGACTGCATTCTGTATTCCATTTGGCCTCTTCGAGTGGAACACACTCTGCCACAACCTCTGAGCCCCCATCTGTTCAGTTACTAGCCTCAGAGGCTAGTCAGATTGAAACTGTGTGTGCATGTGTGTGTGTGCCTGTGTGTGCTCAGTTACTAGCCTCAGAACCTAGTCAGATTGAAACTGTGTGTGTTCCCCGCTTGAAGTCTAAAGCACTATATGCGAGGAAATCTGACCTAGGTGTCAGACACAGTAACTTAATAAAAGTTCAGACAGACAGAAATAGTTCTAGCGGTAGGGTTGTTAAATGTGGTTTAATGAACAGTCAGATAAATCTCGTCTAAATCGCTTCTCATAAACGAACTTATTATAGACAAGGGCTTGGATCTGTTTGCGCTCTCGGAGACTTGGCTCCAACAGGACGAGTACGTTAGATTGAATGAGTGCACTCCTCCGACGCATGTTAACTACCAGAAAGCCAGAGCTACAGGTCGCGGCGGTGGTGTTGCGATTATATCACACACCAACTTGGTTCTTAGTCCCAAAACCAACAACGCTTTTCACTCGTTTGAAAACTTAACACTTTCAATCACCTGTCCTGGGTGGAGAAAACAAAAAGCAGTACTATTTATAGTTTTATACCGACCTCCTGGTCCTTACAGCGAGTTCCTAACAGAATTCTCTGACTTCATTTCAAACCTAGTTTTGGAATGGGAAAACATAGTTATAGCTGGAGACTTCAATATACATGTGGACGACAGCACTGACAGCTTAAACAAAGCTTTCAGCGCCGTACTAGATGGTGTTGGTTTTACTCAGAATGTCGAGGAACCTACTCACATTCATAACCACACCTTGGACCTTGTCCTGACCTACGGCTGTGATGTCTCCAATGTTGACATCCAGCGTCAAAGCTCGTTGCTGTCTGACCATTTCTTGATCACGTTTGATCTCGCTTTGGAGGACTTTCCTGTCCCGCAAGATAAAACCATAATGAAAAGAACCTTAAATGATAAATCTATCACAAGGTTCAAAGAACTAATACAGCCTATGTTGAATACTGCTGCAGGTGAACCTGTTCACAGCAGCTGCAGTCCCTCAGTCATTGACCAAACGGTGGGCAACACTATGGAGTCTTTAAAATCTGCATTAAATGCAGCAGCTCCTTTAAAACAGAAAACCATTAGGATTAGATCATCGTCGCCCTGGTACAGTGTTCAACTCCACACTTTAAAACAGGACGTCAGAAAATTGGAGAGGCTATATCGCCACTCCCACTCGGAGCCTGTCCACAGGGAGTGGAAAGCAGGTCTCCGAAACTACAAGAAGGCCCTTCGCGGGGCTCGAACTCAATACTATTCAACTTTAATAGAAGCGAATAAAAACAACAGTAGATTTTTGTTTGGTACCGTCGCTAAACTCACAAACTGCCATAGCGCAATCGAGCCTAAAATTCCAAGCTCACTGAGCAGTGTCGACTTTCTCCACTTCTTTAATAATAAAATTACATCCATCCGTGACAAGCTGGAGGAGGTTGCTCCTGCTGTTAGTGGTGGACAGGTTGAAGCGGCATACGTGACTTCCCACTTAGACTCTTCAGTGGGCCTTAATAAATTCATGGCTGTGAGCCAAGCAGAGGTGATCTATGTGGTCACATCCTCAAAAGCCTCAACTTGCATGTTAGACGCAGTCCCGACATGGCTCTTCAAAGACATACTTTCTTTGATAATTGAGCCTATCGTAAATATAATAAACGCATCCATACAATGTGGCTATGTCCCACAAGCTTTTAAAACCGCGGTAATCAAACCCCTTCTGAAGAAAACAAACCTGGACCCAGAAATACTTACAAACTACAGACCGATCTCAAACCTCACTTTTATATCTAAAATCCTGGAAAAACTTATAGCTGAGCAGCTCCGCTGCCACCTGCAGGAAAATGATATGTTTGAAGTCTTTCAATCAGGATTCAGAGCTCATCATAGCACTGAAACGGCACTAGTCAAAGTCACAAATGACTTACTACTAGCTGCCGATAATGGACAAGTGTCAGTGCTGGTCCTACTGGACCTTAGTGCTGCATTTGACACAATAGACCACAGCATTCTACTGCAGAGGCTAGAATGTGATATAGGTCTTAGAGGAACAGCCCTTGGCTGGTTTAAATCCTATTTATCAGATCGATATCACTTCGTCAATGTGAATCAGGACTCGTCGCCTTATTCTGGAGTGGAATTCGGTGTGCCGCAGGGTTCGGTACTCGGACCGATTCTTTTTACTCTCTACATGCTGCCACTGGGAAACATTATTAAAAAGCATGGAATTAATTTCCACTGCTATGCAGATGACACACAGCTTTATCTGTCGATGAAGCCTAATCAGACAGATCAGCTAGAAAAGCTCAGTGCCTGCATAAAGGACCTTAAAATGTGGATGACTCTTAACTTCCTACTTCTCAACCCGGAGAAGACAGAAGTGATCCTACTCGGTCCGAAGCGCCTGCGTGACTCCCTCACTAACCAGATGGTTACTCTCGATAATGTCAGTATAATACCCAGTAACACTGTGAGGAATCTTGGAGTCATTTTTGACCAAGAACTCTCCTTCAAGGCTTATATAAGCCAAGCAACTAAAACGGCGTACTTCCACTTACGGAACATCGCTAAAATTAGGAATTTCCTTCCTAAAAGTGACGCGGAAAAACTCATTCACGCGTTTGTCACCTCAAGGCTCGACTACTGTAACGCTTTACTGGCAGCGTGCCCTAAAGCCTCTTTGAAGAGCTTCCAGCTCGTTCAGAATACAGCAGCTAGGATCTTAACAGGTACCAAAAGGAGGGAGCACATAACTCCGGTGTTAAAATCACTCCACTGGCTCCCTGTGGAGTACAGAATAAAGTTTAAAATCCTACTCTTAACATATAAAGCCATAAATGGCTTGGCTCCTTCTTATCTCCAAGACACGTTAGTGTCGTATCAACCAGGTCGAGCGTTGCGCTCACAAAACGCCAGACGTCTGGTGGTCCCTAAGGTCTCAAAGGTCACTGTTGGTGGCAGAGCATTTAGCTACCAAGCTCCTTTACTGTGGAATCAGCTTCCCATTTATGTTAAGGAAGCAGATACGGTCTCCACATTCAAGGCCAGGCTTAAAGCACTTTACTTTAATTTAGCATATAATTAGGTAATATATAATATGTAGTGTATATATTATATATATATGCTGTATTATGTTATATATTATGTTATATATTATTCAATAATGTATTGTGTTATGTTGTATATTATGTTATATATTATGCTGTATGTTATTCTTTATTCAAGGCTAGGTTTAAAACAGTCCTCTTTAGTTTAGCATATGGCTAGGAAGGTAAGACTCGGAGAAGGTTAAACTCCTCAGAGTGTTAGTCAAGCTGCATAGGGAGTCAGTTTGCTGGGAGAAGTATGGTAACTTGAGCACTATCCTCTCCTCCTTCCTACTTTATCTGTTTAGCATTTTTAGGATTCTGACTGTAGTTTGTTCATTGCTATTCACCCGTTGTCCCATTGTCTGTTTCATGGTACGATGACGGGATCTCTGAGCCTGGCCTCCTCCATCTACACCTGCGGACTGCCCCGCCCGACCCGCCTGGGAGTGCTTCAGTCCTGCACCGGACCTGTCCACGTTCAGCGTCCACTGGTCCACGTTCTGTAGCTAGCTTAGGTCCTGGATCATTAGTCTGTCCGTCCGGAGGAGCGGATCCCTTTCTCATATGGGTCTCCCTCCCTGTGGGTTTCCCTAGTTCTCCTCCAAGGTTTCTCACTTTTTCCCACAATGGGTTTTTTAAGAGTTTTTCCTTGTCGATGCAGGAGGGTCTTGTTGGACAGTTAGTGTCCAACAGAAAGGATTGGTGATGATCAGGACACTTTAGCATTCTACAACATGTATGGACATTTTCTTCTGTGTGTGCTTTATACTGTATTCTTCATGTGTTTTAACTGTTGATTCTCTGACCTGTGTTGGTGATTTCAATGGTTTTGTTAAGTCCTCTGAGATGACTTCTGTTGTGACCTAGGGCTATACAAGAATAAATTGTATTGTATTGTGTGTATTGTAACAGCGTCTGCTTTCAACCACTCACATCGAAGCACACGGCTCCCATAGGTTGCCAAATCCCAGCAAGATTTTCCAACCCAAAATCTGCAAGAATACCCAAAAAAAAAAAAAAAAAAAAAACACTCGATTTTTTGGCTAAAAACGTAAAGTAATCAACTTGGGCTATCATGATTCTGTTTATTGTCTTTCTGTTTATTTATTACCTACAAGTCTCTTGGAAAAAAATATGCGGGAACCACCAAACCTGGCAACCCTGCTGCATAGTGTGTAAACAGGAACACTGAACCAGTGCTTCAACCAAACTTTACAGGAACATTTGACTCTTAAAACACACATATATCAACATAGAACCATCAACATCTCGCCCCAAATTGCATTAAAAGTGACATCAGTGTCTTAATTTGATCGTATTTACTCTTTTAAAAAGATTCCTCTCGCTGCTGCATCAGAGAAGCTTGAGAAGGCAGTGCAAACCCCACGTAACACCAGCAATCCTGATTGGTCGATTAAAAAATAATCTGGGGAAGGCGTTCGCTATGGCGTCGATACCAAACCCATGTGGTTCAGCCAAACGCCTCCGGTGGAGCATGGCGGAACTACAAGGGTCTGGCAGAGCCAGGCTAGCGAATTACGGCCGGTATTTAAAAAAAAATAGACATCTTTGTCTTGCTCTGAGCGTTTACCACAATTAAAGACGCAGCAAAACCCATCAGCCTAATTAACGGAGCGCTCTCGGCCACTGCGTTGAATCCATAGACTGTATATATTAATGGACAGAGTCACGCCTATCTCTGCCGTTCTAACTAATGGGCCAAAAAATGTGCTCTACTGGAGCAATCCAGAATGGCCGCGAGTGGTCCCGCCCACAAGAAAATTGTGAAAAAACGCATCTGCGCATGCGTCAGCCGCCGCAGCTCCATTCATTTAAATGAGAGACTTCAAAAATTCACAGCAAGTAAACTAGAGTGGACCAAAAAAATTCACCCCCCTCAGCATTGACACACATGTGGAACGGAGCTTTGGGCCAAGAGCCAACTTTTGGTCCATCCTGTAAAGACGTTTTCGAGAGGTCTGCCAATGCTATATGTTAGCATTGGCTAATTCTACTTCTGGGTCTACCCCCATCGGCCCGGGGTGGTACTGCAGCATGTCAGCGCACGTCATTTTGGCCACTTTTGAGCTGGGACCCGCCCACACTGGTTGAATCTGACTGTATAAAGTTTCATACCTGCCATCTAACATGGCCGCCTAGTGACGGTTGCTATGTAGGTCACATGTTGGTGCAAAACCTCTATTGGATGCGACCACTGGATGTAACACGTAGCGGGAGGATTGTGGCGAGAAACGTAAAAATTGAACGCAACCAACAAACGTAAGAGGGAGCGAGGAGCACTGTTGCGAGAGAGAAGTGAAAGTGATTGAGATGTTTTTGAAAAGGAATTATGCCATTTCTGAACAGGATTCACATCCTCCACTCTGACCCCGGGCAGCTGTGGCTGCTTTGTACGGACAGCCGCTTTCACAACAGCTCAGCGAACGCACATTCATAACATGGTACCGAGCACGGACCGAACAGACAGAACCATGCACTTGTGGAGAGAACCATAGACGCGCAGACAGAATCATAGACGTGTGGACAGAACCATAGATGCGCGGACAGAATCATAGACGCGCAGACAGAACCATAGACGCGTGGACAGAACCATAGATGCGCGGACAGAACCATAGATGCGCGGACAGAACCATAGACGTGTGAACAGAACCATAGATGCGCGAACAGAACCATAGACGCGCAGACAGAACCATGGACTCGTGCTCAGCACCATCACCCATGTCCCTCCCATGTCTCCTTCCAAAGCACAACCAAAACTCCTGAGTTTAAAGCTCGGATACCCACATTTTCTCCATACATTAATATGTCATTTGTGCACAAAAGTAAAATGTAAACAAATCAAACTGAACACGCAACAGGCCATTTTTTTCTAATTATTTTGCAGACTTAAGAGCCCTGTGAGTCATTGTTTGACTTTTTGGGCTGAGAGTGGATTTTTTTTTTTTTCACACAGTTAGTGCCACTTTATTCCTTAACTCTTGTTGACTCATTGTATTGAGAAATACTAAACAAAGCTTAATGTCAAGGCCTGCATTCAAGCACAAAAACACTGATCTATACACAGTTTGGAGGTTGTCATTCCCACTTCCACCAGGAGATGGCGATGGTGCTGTTCTGTGAGAATGCGGATGCGTCAGACTGCAGCATGTGCGTCGTCCACAAAGTTCAGTGCTGCAGGGGGGATGTGCCCGGAGCCTGTGGAGCACACCGACATGCTCTTCATCAAAGGGCTGCTCTCCTTCGACTGCTCCTCCACAAAACTGTGCAGCGTGCTGTAGTACTGCCTCCTAGAGGAAGAAGAGAGTGTTACATGAGTCGACTGGCACCACCTACTGGTTCATGGCCATGGATGTGTTGTAGGAGGTTGCTGCTTAAACCTGTCTCCACGTGGACAAGGAGCTTCTGCAGCACGGTAGCTTACATTTACAAGATAAGATAGACTTTTTTGATCTCACACAGGAGAAATGTACATGTCACATCTGGCATGGATAGAATCACTTAGGATTGTGCAAAAGAAATAAATGTGCAAACATGTTAAATGCAGGATACATTATGTACAATAAAAAGTGGCAATTGAAAAGTGGCAATCAAGAAACAGTGTCAATAAGTAGTGCAGGTTTTTTCAGTCCTAATGCAAGTGGATTAAAGTGACTTATTGTACAGTCTGACAGCGAAAGGAGGTAAAAGCCCTGCGCTAGCGCTCCTTCTTGCACTGAGGGTGTCTCAGTCTTCCACTGAGACAACTCCTCTACAGTCCTGTGCAGTGGGTGGGAGGTGTTGTCCATGATGGAGGTGACTTTGACTAGCACCCTCCTGTCCCTCACCTCCTCCACAGAGTCCGGGGGGCAGCCCAGAGTGGAGCTCGCCCTCCTGACCAGCTTGTTCAGGCTACTCCTGTCTCAATTGATTTACAATCAAATTTACAAATGTACATAGGAGATTCTCATAGACCTCAGTGTTAACTAAAATGGATCATCCTCAGCTGACAAGTAACCTACAGCTTTCAAACAAGGTAAATTTTGAGGAGATTTTAGTGTCCATTGCGCCCCTTTTTTCTTTCAAAATCCTTGTTTTTTTTATTAACAAACTTTGCTCGCTCTCGTCTCACTCTGATCAGCGGCATCCTTAATGAGTGAAAAGCCACAGGGCATTGATTTGAACAGGCAAAAATCTTGGAAACCTGGGGCTTGCACATGACTGAACAACGTGGGGTGTGTGTGTGTCAGCACGGCCTCTACACACCTGTGGCCTTCAGGGACCATGGGTGTAAACTAGCTCCACTGCTATAACTTTTAACGAAAGGATTTACAAAACACAGAGATAACAGATCAAAACCTGAGTGATGGTGCTCACCCAGACCTGTCGCGGAACTTGTACAGCTCTGACACCTGCTGCCAATGTTGATTGGACGGCGTGTGGCTGGCCTCTGGTGCCGTGTTGGTGAAGAAACTCTGGACGTTGCTAAGGGCCAGTTTTTTGGCATGTTCCGCGGAGCAGGAGTCCAACGCAGAGCTCTCCTCCTGGACATAGAGCCTCCAGAACTTCAGCTGCAGGTAACTGACCGGAGAGGTGCAGCGCGCCAAGCACATGAAGAAGAGGTGCGACAGGATCAAAGTGGAGATCAGCAGCCATCCAATGATCTAAGGAGAGAGAGGCTGATGTTTTGGACGTCCTTTGTAGTGCGGTCAGTTTATCTGCCCACCAGCTGGGGGCACCAGACTATGCTATAAAACTTTCCCAATCGTTGATGTGTTGCTGTGTCTGTGTTCGGGCGTCGACACGCCATTTATTTGGTATGGAAACTAACACAATATTTAGATGTATTGCAGGGTCGGTGTGTCGGTTGGTCCTTTTCAGACATGACTTTTATATAGTGACTCTTGAGGCGCTTCACTGTAGACCGCTGGGTGCGTGCTTCACTGAAGACCAGGTGTGTGGTCTTGGTGGTCCTCTGAAGCTGGCGATCATTCCCTGCCTAGTGAGAACCCAGAGAAAGAGTCCCTCATATAAGTGGTGTGTCAGTCATCAGATGTAAATGTGTTTACAATGGCTTAATGTAATATAACTTTATTTTAGGAATTGTGTCTGAAAGTGTCCAAGGTGTTGAGTCCTGTAACGGATGTGTAGAAGTAATGAGTTTGTGAGCTACTGCACCTTGTTTATTTAAACAGTGAAACTTAACCCTAAGTGAAATTACTCAATTGAAATATAAATAAAAGCCACACTTCATGAATAAACTATGCTTAGCAGTAGAGATTAGGGATGGGCATCGATTTTTGAATATTCGAATAGTCGTTAAATCATAAAAAATCGAATAGTGTACCATATCTGGAGGGGGAAAAAAATGGTATTACTGGCGGCTTCCGCACGGGGGCAGCGTACCATTTGACGATACACAGTGGCGGGCTACATGCCAAGTCGTAGAAAATTAACAAACTGGAGAAGACACGATGGAGAAATTACTGCAGTCGTCAAAAAGTTCCATGTGGCGCTATTTCCAAAAAACAACTGAAACAGAGGTACAATGTAAACTCTTGCATATCACAAGTCTACGACAACCATGCACTCTCATATGAGAGCAAAGCACCCGTGTGAAAGCGACGGGCCGTCGTCACAGCAACAGTCAATTGCCAGCTTCGCCACTAGATTATGAGGACGAGCATGTTAAAAAATGTTCACGTCAGCAATGCTGTCTCTCAGGTATGTTTAGTAAAATGTTCAACATTTATATAATTATTGTTTGAAGTCTCCGCACTTTGTTAATTACCGACGTGACGACGGTATTATTGGGTGATTTATGAAGGAAAACCCGGTCCGCACACGCACCTTTTGTATTGTATATAATATCCTGTTTGTTTAATGGGATTAAAGACAGAAAACGGTTCTATAATGTTGTGCTGTGAATTGCATCCACTGTCAAAATAAAAAAGAAAGAGAAAAATTGTGGATCTATATCTGTTTCCGCAGCGGTGGGTGTTGGGGGCAGTCTGGCGGCAGTTATTGTCGAATATTCGAATATTAATTATTAGTACCCCACGATTATCGAATAGTACTTTTGCTTTAAATGCACATCCCTAGTAGAGATGCACTGATATAAAAACCTCTGCCAATTTTGATATCCAATATACAAATGACAGGGTTACAGGGCTACTTTAAAACGTATGTAACCAACTTTTACCATTTATCAAGCGTGCCAGTATTCACGGCAACATGATGATTTTGCCCTATTAGTTAGTTCATTCCTATTAGTTATTATGGGCGAATGAGTAAAAATGTTTATGTTATTGTGACAACAGTGGAGTCATCCTGGGATCAACAGAACCATGTCCAAGAAGACAGGACACAAATGTTACTTAACAACATTTGAAGCAAGAAATGTGACTCTTTATTGTCATATTGGTGATTTGTTGAACTGTATATAATAAGACAAGGTTTGCAGCAGTAGGCTAACAGCTTAGATTCATACAGCCTAATTTTAGTTTTTCTACGAGCACACCTTGGTTTGAGACAATCTTTGGAATTTAATAATGTATTCAACTTTCTCCCTGTTGCCTCAGTTACTACAGCCGTATACCACACAAAAATACTGCATTGTATCTATGAAGGTCAAAGAAGTGAAGAATAATGACTGTCAGCCGTGTTTCTGGCAGATGCTATGCAGATCCATTAGTTCTATTTCATCCTTCCTGACCGCCAGAGGCGGTGCTTTACGCACTGAATGATCATCTTTGAGCATGCGCAGTTCGAGAATTAAATGACAACAAAGTCACTTGTGACCTCCTCGTGACCCCCGTGAGTCTATATAGGTCACGTGACACGAGAGCCCAGCCCCTTTTCTTCTTCTCGCAGCGCAGGTTTGAGTTGTGCATGTGTGTTGAGCGTTTGTGCTACCTACCTACCACATACGTCCTGCTTGCACATCAGCTCCGTGACTCGCGTCGAGGCAGCAGGTGGATCTCGCCCCTCAGGGGCTGTGCAAGCTCCGCCGGCTCACCGGTGAGTTCTGTCCACGTGTGTGCGTGTGATTCTTAGTTTAAGCTTTCCGTTTTCGGAGTGAGCTGACGTTTGCTATCCACAGTTATACTGATCGTTTTCTGTTCAGTTTGTGTTTATGCTCTGTTTGGCCGGTGTTAATTGAGTCGTGTGTGTGGCGTTCCCTGCCCCGACCACGTTGTGTTTGTGTGTACATTTTCGTCTAGTCTCCTGTTTTCAGTGTGTACTAGCGTTTTGTTTAATCTATCAGCAGTTATACTGTTCGTCCTCTGTTCAGTGTGTTACTTTTGCTCTGTTTGGGGAGCCGTGGGTGGTGTCCTCTGCCACACCTGGCTCTTTACTTGGCCCACGTTGGGTGCGTGTGTGCATTATTCCGTCTAGTCTTCTGTTTTCAGTTTGTACTAGCGTATTTTTGTATCAGCAGTTATACTGTTTGATTTCTGTTCAGTTTGTTGATATTGCTCTGGTTGTGGAGGCGAGTGTGGCGTTCTCTGCCCCACCGGACTCTTTCGTTGGCCCACATTGTGTGTTTGTACACTTTCGTTAGCTCTTCTGTTTTCAGTTTATGCTAACATTTGTTTTTCTTTACCAACAGTTAGATTGTTCGCCCTCTGTTCGGTTGTTTGGTTTTCTCTGTGTGCTTGAGTCGTCTGTGGCGTTTTCAGCTCGACCCGACTCTGCTTACATTGCTCCACCAGTTCAGGCGCGCTCGTTATGCACGAGTCGCTGGGCTGCCGTGGGTGCATGGCACCGATGCCCCGCGAGGATGGCCATGACCTGTGCCCTGCGTGCCTGGGTCTCGGGCATTTGAGACAGGGCCTGACGGTGGACGCCTGCTCCAATTGTGCGGTACTGCCACTCTCTGTACGCGTGGAGCGCCTGGCGGCCCTGGATCCGGATGAGGGCTCTTCGGAGGTGCCGCCCTGCCTGCCGCCTGCTGCCCAGCCCTCTGGGTCTAAGCGTGCGGCTGTGTCCACTACTTCCGTAGCGTAGGGTGCCTGCAGGGTTGTCTGCACGGATGGACCACCTTGCGTCCGAGATGGCCCAAATGAAGGCACTTCTGCAGGATGTTCGCCCCCGGTTTCGGGGGAACATGTGCTGGGCCCTCCTGTGCCGGACCTGGCCCCATTGTGGGAGGACGATGTGATGTCTGTGGCTGCATCTGACACTCATTTTTGTCTTGACCCTGAGGAGGTTGATTCCAGGGCCTCTGACGCTGGTTCCTTGGCGTCCACGGGGTGCCTGGACGGAGAGGAGAGTGGGGCTTCCTCTGCCGTCCGCTCTGCACTCGCCCGGGGTCTCCAGGCCACGGGGGGCTCGGAGATGAGGTCAGGCTGCTGACGGTGGGTTCTTTTACCCGGGAGCAGTTGGACTACTGGACCGCTCACACCTCAGACCTCTGGGTGTTGGGCACGCTCTCCCGGGGGTACACTCTCCAGTTCCACCGTCCGCCTGCGGTCCCTGGCCCCGTCAGGTGGACTGTGATCCACGACCGGGCCAGGACACTGGCACTGTCCGTAGAGATCGCCACCTTGCTGGACAAGGAGGCTATAGTGCCTGTGGACCCCCTGCTGGACCCAGGGGGCTTTTATTTGATTTATTTTCTGGTTCCGAAGAAAACTGGCGACTTGCGTCCGGTTTTGGACCTTCGGGGCCTCAGTGTGTTCAAGACGCTATCGTTTCGGATGTTGAGGACCCCGGAGCTGTTGCAGGCAATATCTCCGGGCAATTGGTTCACATCCATCGACCTGAAGGATGCTTATTTTCACGTGCCGATTGCCCCGCATCACCAGCGGTTTCTGCGTTTTGCTTTCCAGGGGCGGCATTATCAATTTCGGGGGCTCCCCTTCGGGCTGTCCCTGTCCCCCAGGGTCTTTTCCCGGGTCGTTGCGGCGGCCTTGGCCCCTCTTCAGGCAGGGGGGTTGAGGGTCCTGCCTTATCTGGACGACTGGCTCGTGTGCGCCCCCAGTCGTGCCCAGGCCGTTCGGGACACTCAGACTGTCCTCGACCACGTTGGGCGTTTGGGTCTGCGGGTCAATGTTGCCAAGAGCAATTTGGTTCCGGCTCAGGCAACGACTTTCTTGGGGGTGTACCTAGATTCGGTTGCCATGACCGCCCGTACGTCGGCTCTGCGGGTCAATGGCATTGTGCACATGCTCCACAGATTTCAGCGGGGTCGGGCGTTGCCGTTCCTGCTGTACCTCAGCCTCTTGGGGAAGTTGACGGCGGCCTCTGCCGTTGTGCCGCTGGGCCTTCTTTCCCTTCGTCCCATCAAGATGTGGCTGAACGGCTTGCGTTTAGATCCGTCATGCTTCATTCACAGGCGACGCAGACTCCTGCTCTCGCCGCAGTGCCTAGAGTCCCTATCCTGTTGGCGGGACAGGTCTTGGATCGAGAGAGGTGTCCCACTGGGCTCTCTTCCGTCTCGGAGGGAGGTGGTGCACACCGATGCGTCCCTCACTGGTTGGGGGGCGACGTGGCAGGGCAGGATGGCACAGGGGACTTGGTCTCCAGAGGTCCGCCTGCTGCATGTGAATGCCCTGGACCTCATGGCGGTCCGCCTTGCTCTCGCGCACTTCCTCCCACGACTGCGTGGCCGGCACGTCACCTGGGGGGTACCCGGTCCGTGACGCTGTTGCGGTTGACCCAGGAGCTACTGCTGTGGGCAGCCCCTCGCTTGGCAAGCTTGAGGGCCTCCTACATTCCGGGGGTGCACAATGTGGTGGCGGACCTTCTGTCCCGCCAACGCCCCCAGCCCGGGGAGTGGCGTCTCCACCCGGAGGTGGTGGCCAGCATTTGGACTATGTTTGGCCGGGCCGAGGTGGACCTGTATGCGTCCAGTACTCTGCTCTACGCTTTCCCCCCTCTGCCACTGATTTTCCCAACCCTCCTGAGAGTTCACTTGTTTGACAAGTGGTGTCTGACGTGGGGACATGATGCTGTGCGTTGCCCGGTGCCTGCCATTCTGCAGTTCCTCCAGGATCTCATGGACCGGGGGCGCTCTCCCTCTACACTCAAGGTATATGTGGCGGCAATATCTTGTTTTCATGAGGGTGTGGCCGGTTCTACGGTGGGGAGTAACGGGGATATTTCCCTGTTACTGAAGGGTGCTCGGCGTCTTCATCCCCCGCGACGGCCCATGGTTCCGCCCTGGGACCTGACGTTGGTTCTGGAGGCGTTGCGGGCTCCCCCGTTTGAGCCCCTGGATCGTGTGGACCTGAAGTGGGTCTCCCTTAAGACCACTTTTCTTCTGGCTATGGCCTCGGGTAAGCGTGTGAGTGAACTGCAGGCTCTGTCGTTTCACGAGTCCTGCTGCAGATGGGATCCCAATGGTCTGGGGGTTACGCTTTGGCCGGATGCTTCCTTCCGCCCAAAGGTGTTCACTGGTGCGGTCCTTCCATTTAGTTTGGCCCGGTTTGGTACTGGAGCCTGTGTAGAACCGCTTTGTCCTGTCAGGGCATTGGAGGTTTACCGAACTGCCACAGCCAGTGTGCGGGGGTCGGATCGCCTCTTCGTGTGCTATGCCCAGGGCCAGGCTCTGTCGTTCCAGCGCCTCTCCAAGTTGGTTGTCGAGGTGATCAGGCAGTGCTACCTCTCCCATGGGCGCCAGCTGCCTGCTGGGGTGAGGGGTCATTCGACCAGGGGCGTCTCTGCCTCCTGGGCTGCTATGAGCGGTGTGCCTCTGGACGCCGTCTGTGCGGCCGCCTCCTGGACGTCGCAGTCTACCTTCGCGACGTACTACAGGGTCAATGTGGCGGTCCCTGGTCCGCTGGAGGGGGTGCTGCGGCACCATTCGACGTTATGAGGTGGGTGTGTACCTCTCGTTGACCCCTCGGGACCTTGTTGGTATTTGTCATCCAGTGCTTAAAGCACCGCCTCTGGCGGTCAGGAAGGATGAAATAGAACGAAAGTTACGACTGTAACTACGGTTCTATGAATCCTGGATGACCGCCAGAGCGTCCAGTCCCTCAGGGCCACGGTCTGCTTGCAAGGGGCTGGGCTCTCGTGTCACGTGACCTATATAGACTCACGGGGGTCACGAGGAGGTCACAAGTGACTTTGTTGTCATTTAATTCTCAAACTGCGCATGCTCAAAGATGATCATTCAGTGCTTAAAGCACCGCCTCTGGCGGTCATCCAGGATTCATGGAACCGTAGTTACAGTCGTAACTTTCGTTTTCCACTTTATAAAAGCAGTTGCCACAACTGTACACACCACAGAAAAAGAACATTTTGACTCTGAATTAGTGAATATCGCTGCGACACAGCAACTAGATGAAAACACATTGGTTGTGGTTATTGGCCCAATGCTGGTAAAAAAATGATAAATGATATTTTTACCGATAGATCGTGCAACCTTACTTAGCAGGGTCTATTCTGTTCCAAACCACACAGGGATCTAAATTTTGCCCCGTGGCATCCTAGGCACGCCGCTGCGCTTGTCTTTCCCCTCAAAATGACACATACTGTGTAGGGGCCGTAACTCAAGTCCAAGCCTCTGGCCCCACCTTCAACTACAGTTGGAAACTAGCTGCGCACTCGCACATTAATTTAATAAAATGAAATAAATCAGGTACAAAAGACAGCTCTCTGTTTATATTCAATACTCGGCACAAACCTGTGACTCCGCCCTCAGCGTCTGAAGCACCTCATCCCTCACATCTCTAGGGACTTTTCCATCTTTTCCACATGGGAACGTAGGCAGCTCTTCTATACAATCCTTTTTCGCTTCCCCCTTACACAAATGATCATTAAACAAAGTCATGTTGGTTCCAGTCATGGCACACTCGGTGAAAACCCCGTTTAGCAGCGCCACCGCAATCCACGTGCTTGGAGCCAGGAAGGCGAACGTGGAGATGTAAAATAAAGCGTACATGAGAGCTTTAAGCCTCCCGCAGCTCCCGCATACGTTCTTTCGCTGGCACACCCCCGTCACCAACTTCCACGTCTTCTTGGACCAAATGAAGCCCAGAGTGAGGAGAGCCAGAGCGGGCACCAGCAGGAACACCACGCCGTAGAGGAAATTGAGCTGGTTGCAAGGGCATTTGAAGATCACATTTGAGAAGATCTGCTCCCCTCCAACGGTGAGCAGCGTGACCAGGCCGAAGCCGAGGTTGCTATTCTTGTTGGCAATGTTCAAGACGGTGTTCAACTTGTCCATTTCACTCTTCAAATGAGAACAGAGCAGGTGAATGTGCTAACCGCAGCAGCAACACTTTTGGTTTCACTCTTAAGGGGAAATACCTTTTAGGGAATGTTTAGCACGCCCTAAAACTGCACCAAGATCAGGCTGTATATCAGTGTTCAAGGCACGGCTTAAAACATTCCTTTAATTCAGCATATAGGAAGGTAAGACTTAGAAGTAAGAAATTAATCTTTATTTACAGTGCATTGCAGAAGTATTACTATAGCTTTCTGTAACACGGGTGAAAAAATCCTGTAAGAGTGATACCTCGTTTTACGATACTGATCTTTGTGCTCCCCCCTGCGTGCGCGTCTCGTGACCGGAGCTGGCCAATCAGCCGGTTATATTTTCCCTAACCAGGAAGCACTGGTAGTGCGAGAGGTGCCGTGTATTGGGTTGCTGCAGGTACGGTTTCTGCTTATTTACTTCACCATAACATCCAAGGCTAATTATATGTTAGTGATAAATGAAACCTCACGTATCGTTTCGGCACATCCAACGAACTGCATTGATACTGTGCCGCAACAGTGTTGCTTGTGCTGCTCTATACTGACGCCTGGTGGATCTGATAAATCATTGCATCCAACTCACTGATTCAATGAGCTTTACATACTTGTCTGCACACAATATTACGTAACTGCATTGTCTGTGTTATTTTATTTTATGTGAAAATTAAATTGATAGTTGTGAATGTATTCATTAAGCAAAATGTCATTGAGTGATTTTATATATATAATATATATATTATTTTTCAAAACAATAAGCATGTCCAAAGTGCACTGTAAACCCTGGAAACTAAAGTATACTTGAAAAAACCTTTGACATTTTCTGCACTTCAATTTCTCAAAATTATTCTTCAAGACTGATGTCAACATAAACTTTTTAGGTCCGACAGGGATTCGTATCCAGTTCTCTCAAACGCGAGGCGAGAGCGCTATCCACTCATCCACCATACCTAACTAGATTTTCCGTTTCAAACTAAACCTTGATTGTAGATAAAGCGTGAAATGTAAAATACAAACATTGCCTTATTTGCTATTATTTGCAGTATCACACTGCAGAATACTTTCTTTTAGTTGCAGGTTCCATTTTTTTATGCTGTAAAATGGGATGTTTTTCCTTTTTGAAAGGGTTATTTTCTTTTTCTGAGAGTGGTTCATACCGGTGACACTTGCAGATGCGGAACCTTTTAAACACAGTTTGCCGTGTTGGTGACAAGCGACATTGCGGTTGTATCGGTCCCGAGGCTTTTTCATAAAGCGACACGCGCGCCGATACGAGGTTTCGCTAAACGAACTCGGCACATGCGCCGCTGTATCAGTGTTGCTGGACCCATCACTATTATATGTATTGTTGTATGCAGGAGCCGAGCTACCATCACCCTAGCGCACTTGATAGAGCGTTTGATTGCTCAGAATCGGGAGAGTCGGTAAGCGCCAAGCCCCGGCGATCCAAGATGGCGCCCTATTCAAATGAATGGTTGTGCTCAGTGGCGCTTTGTGACGGCATGGGGGCTGAAAAGATTAGCGGAAGTTGCCTGAAACTCGCAAAGATCTTTGGGAAACTCGCCTGTATTTGGGCATCGTCTGGTCCTCCCGGTTCTGTGCAGTGGATGATCTCCCATAATGCGTTGCGTCAAACACGCGTGTGTGGGTCTCACACCGGGTCTCATGCACGTGCACAGAGGGGCTCGGCCGCGCTCTGACCAATCAGAGCAGTTCATCAGAGCGGGAGTTAGAGCGAGAGCCAGAGGAGCAGAGTTTGTGGCACTAAAGTGTGGATTTAAACAAAACCGAAGGATTTAAGAAGAAAAAAAGTTCAGGACGACAAGGGACACTAAAATCCCCACAAAATCTGATCTTTATGAAAGCTGTAGGTTCTCTGTCAGCTGAGGTCGAGCTGTTTTAATATGCATTGAGTTCTATGGGGAAAATTTCTGGGTAGACCACGTGAATTTAGTCTGGTTCAGTCTGCAGTACCGCGAGAATCCCCTGAGCACATGAGTTATTCAGCTACAAGCTAGTAAGTAAGTAAGTAAGTAAGTTTTTATTTATATACCACCTTTTCACTGCAGAGCTGAGTCTCAAAGCGGTTTACAATTGTTACTTTTTGGGCATTTGTCTCTCACTCCACACAGAGATGGGAGCAGTCGCCAGTACAGGAAGCGCATGCCAGAACTATTGGACATATTTTTAGTGGAAGGGGAAACCGGAGTACCCGGAGGAAACCTACGCAGACACGGGGAGAACATGCAAACTCCACTCAGAAAGGCCCTGGTCCGACCGGGATTCGAACCCAGGACCTTCTTGCTGAGAGGCGAGAGTGCTATCCACTCAGCCACCGTGCCGCCCCCAAGCTAGTAATACCCTATCCAGTTATTATAAGCGCTCTCATGAGCTCTCATTCATTCAGCGTCTAGCTTAGCATTAGCCGTTCCCCCTGTTTTTAATGGGTTCGGTTAGCATCTGCTATTTATGCCAATTTTCTGTGCTTTTTATTTAATGTCCAAACCAAATGACGATGAGATTATTGTTGAATCATGACACTGTTTACATGCACCTTGTGGCGTTTTTTACCTTGCATATGAAATCATGTTATGATTTCATCCTTTTGCAATGCACTAGCACTTTATTTTGTAGAGTTGCTATGAGATTATTGATTGTGCAATAGCACTATGCACTTTCACTTAAATGATTAAGTACAAATAGTTAAGCATTTTTCATTGTCTTAATTATAGAAACTTTTGTAGAATAGTTATTGTGATATAGTAGCATCCTATTGCACTTTTAATTATGAAGCGATGTGCATCCTATTTGAATATGTATTGACTTTGTGTACACATGGATTAATGACAAATTACTGATATATTTTCTATAGTAATTTAGAAGTGTATTAATGTAGTTTTGAAGTAATTAGTATTATGTTTAGTATATACTAAATGGAGTTAATGAGGGTACTGTTCTGTTATACAGGCCAGGTTTCGATGGCGAGCTAAAGAACTGGAACTAGTCCTGGACCTGCTTGGAAACCTGAACCCGACTACCTCAATAGGGCTGGTAGGAGGCTTCTGCAGCCAACCATACAAACTCTCGCACCTTGCACTTCATCCACGACCCCAACCATTGCCTCCTTTTCACTCCTCACACGGACACTTACCTGTGGACTCAAAACAATTCTGGGGTCGTGTGGATTTCGCTCTGTTGAGCGCGTGCAGTTTCAATTGCGTTGTGCGAGTGGCCCACGGGTCACGTGTAAATATTGAACTCTAAACCTATGACTTGTGTATATCCAGTGCCTTGCGAAAGTATTCGGCCCCCTTGAACCTTTCAACATTTCGTCACATTTCAGGCTTCAAACATAAAGATATAAAAATTTAATTTTTTGTCATGAATCAACAGCAAGTGGGACACAATCGTGAAGTGGAACGAAATTTATTGGATAATTTAAACTTTTTTAACAAATAAAACACTGAAAAGTGGGGCGTGCAATATTATTCGGCCCCCTTGCGCTAATACTTTGTAGCGCCACCTTTTGCTGCAATTACAGCTGCAAGTCGCTTGGGGTATGTCTCTATCAGTTTTGCACATCGAGATACTGGAATTCTTGCCCATTCTTCCTTGCAAAACAGCTCGAGCTCAGTGAGGTTGGATGGAGAGCGTTTGTGAACAGCAGTCTTCAGCTTATTCCACAGATTCTCGATTGGATTCAGGTCTGGACTTTGACTTGGCCATTCTAACACCTGGATACGTCTATTTGTGAACCATTCCATTGTAGATTTGGCTTTATGTTTTGGATCATTGTCCTGTTGGAAGATACATCTCCGTCCCAGTCTCAGGTCTTTTGCAGACTCCAACAGGTTTTCTTCCAGAATGGTCCTGTATTTGGCTCCATCCATCTTCCCTTCAATTTTAGCCATCTTCCCTGTCCCTGCTGAAGAAAAGCAGGCCCAAAGCATGATGCTGCCACCACCATGTTTGACAGTGGGGATGGTGTGTTCAGGGTGATGAGCTGTGTTGCTTTTACGCCAAACATATCGTTTTGCATTGTGGCCAAAAAGTTCGATTTTGGTTTCATCTGACCAGAGCACCTTCTTCCACATGTTTGGAGTATCTCCCAGGTGGCTTGTGGCAAACTTTAAACAAGACTTTTTATGGATATCTTTGAGAAATGGCTTTCTTCTTGCCACTGTTCCATAAAGGCCAGATTTGTGCAGTGCACGACTGATTGTTGTCCTATGGACAGACTCTCCCACCTCAGCTGTAGTTATCTGCAGTTTATCCAGAGTGATCATGGGCCTCTTGGCTGCATCTCTGATCAGTCTTCTCCTTGTTTGAGATGAAAGTTTGGAGGGACGGCCAGGTCTTGGTAGATTTGCATGGTCTGATACTCCTTCCATTTCTATATAATTGCTTGCACAGTGCTCCTTGAGATGTTTAAAGCTTTAAACTTCTCCACAACAGTATCTCGGACCTGCCTGGTGTGTTCCTTTGTCTTTATGGTTCTCTCTGTGCTTTAAACAGAACCCTGAGACTATCAAAGAGCAGGTGCATTTATACGGAGACTTGATTACACACAGGTGCATTCTATTTATCATCATCAGTCATTTAGGACAACATTGGATCATTCAAAGATCCTCACTGAACTTCTGGACTGAGTTTGCTGCACTGAAAGTAAAGGGGCCGAATAATATTGCACGCCCCACTTTTCAGTTTATTTGTTAAAGTTTAAATTATCCAATACATTTCGTTCCACTTCACGATTGTGTCCCACTTGTTGTTGATTCTTGACAAAAAATGTAATTTTTATATCTTTATGTTTGAAACCTGAAATGTGGCAAAATGTTGAAAGGTCCAAGGGGGCCGAATACTTTCGCAAGGCACTGTATATATATTGCCTTCTGTGTATTGAGTGTATTTGGGATTTGAGTATGTGTGAATGGCCATTCTAATTCTATTGTCAATATTGTCTAATTGTGT